CAGTTTTAACTGGGAAACTGTCAGCATTTTAGACCAAGCCAAATAGAGAGCAAACCTCATCCCATTTTAGCACTGAAGATGTTACCTAGCCGGGTAATGAAACGTTTGCAAGAAAAGAACCAAACTCAGAGAACCCCAAGGACTCCGTAGAAAGCATATACCTGCACAGAATTTCATGAATTAGGGCATAGAAATCCTCTGGAGTCTGTTTGGATAAGAATGAAGGAGACAGAAAGAACAGTGGTATCATCTTGGCATTTATTATACATCACCTGGACAGGCAAAAGATATGGGTGAGGCCAGTGACAATAGGAGCTTTTGACTACCCTGAGATCTGCTGGAAATCTACCTCTGCCAGAAGTCAGATATCCAACCAATTCTTGTCCTCTCTTGCTAACAATTCATCATCAGAAGGCAGAAAAAATGTTGGAGATTTGAATTCAGTAGGAGTCCTTGTTGGAGGATGTGCTCCTGAACATAAGCAGAATGCTGAAAGAATACTGAATAATTAAGTAGCAGAATGTTCTATTAAAAAGAAAAACAGTTCATAATCTCATTGTCTTGGAGGCAGAATATGGGCTGAGCCCACTCAGCGCTAACAGGCGTTCGTTAATCAGCACTCAAAGAAATGATGCAATCTTGAACAAAAGAAACAAGGGGATCTGCTATCCTCTTTACCTAACCCTTACCTACAGGGAGGAATTGGCTGGGAAAGTGAAGGAGATTGGAAGCTTTGGAGAAAGTGACCATGTCATCCTCGAGTTCATGATATTAAAGAGAGGAACACTAGAGAAGAGTCAGGTTTGTATATTGCATTTCAGAAAAGTAGACTTTGATGAACTCAAAATGTAGGTCCAATCCTGAAAAATGTTCGGGAAGGATAGTAAATCCTGAAAAACAAGATACTGGAGCAATCACAAACAATTCCTATTAGAAGGGAAAATGGCAGGCATTTAAAGAGACTAATGTGGACATACATAGAGCTTCAGAAGTGCTGAAAAGAAAAAGGGAGACAAATAAGAAACACAAGAAGAGGTGTATTACCAAAGAAGGATATAATGCAGTTGCCAGAAACCAAAAAGGCTAAAGAACAGAATGAGCTGAGGCTTGCTAGAAATGTGCAAGATGACAACAACAACAAGAACAAAACCTTTTTGGGTACATTGGAGACAAAAGGAAAGGCTGAAGGAGAAAGAGGTTAAGTGGTAATGGGCCATGGTAAGAAGGTAGAATGCCTTAACTTGTCTTCTCTGAGAAGGGAAACGAACCCCAAAGTTGGCCACCGTTGAGCTGCAGCTCAGGAGAGGCAAGAAAGGGGGAAAGGATGCTTAGCTAATTTCAATGAATTCCATCTCCAGGGCTCGATGCATTGCATCCTGGGAGACTGATGGAACTAGCAGAGAGGATTGCAGAACTGCCATCTTTGGGAACACTTGGAGTACTGGCAAAGTCCCAAAAGGCTGGATAGGAACAAACGTCTCTGTACAGACCTGTCACCTTGCTCTCGGTACTGGGCAGATCATTAAACAGCATGTTTGTGAGCACTTGGATAAGAATGCAATGATTTAAAAAAGCCAGCATGGATTGGTCACAAACAAATTACACCAGACTAACTCTATCTTCTCTTTTTGACAGAGTTAATAGCTTAATAAGGGGAGTGCTATGAACATAATGTATTTTTACATAATAAAGCATTTGGCAAAGTATCTCATGATATAATTAATAAAATGGTAAAATATGGATTGTATGCCTGTCAGATGGATTCATAATTGGATGAATGACTGCACTTAGAGGACTCATAAATGGCTCCATAGCAGCTTGTACTGAGTGGCCTGCTTTATTATCTGCGCTGACATCTTTACATGCATGGATATTATGCTCAGTGGTCAATAATTACTGGGCTCCTCTTTCTTTTCTTATTGAAGAAGGGAACCACATTGTTCTTTTCCTGTCCTCTGGCACTTCCCAGAGAAAAGTGACAGACGACTTGACAGCTCTTCCACCTGTTCCTTCACTATTCTAGGATGTATTTCATCAAGGTTTAGAGACTTGAAGGCATTCAGATTAGCTAGAAGATCCTTTAGCACTTCTTTACACCCACCTCTACACCCATCCCTGTTCTGTTTGTTTTCATCTATGCTCCTCAGATCATCCTTTCCTTTGGATGTAAAGACAGTGGGAAAATAGGAGGGTATTTTGCCCCTTTGATTTATTTATTAAAACATTTGAAAATGAGAGAAACATTGAGGATAAAAGAACAAAATATCAGTAAATAAACAGAAAGTTTACAATTATCATGAAATCTGAAGTTTGTTATTTCATTACTTAGTTGATTGAATGGTTATATAGAACTAGGTTCATTGTATCATTTTTTAAAACAATAAAAATCTCTATAAAATTCTGAACATATTAATATCACCACTATTTATCATTGTTTCAAGAATCAATGCATGTAATCATATAAAAAGAAATAAACTAAAAAGAAAAAGAAAAATCAATAAAAAGAGTATTAGAAAACTATTTAGTTTTAAATTCCCTGCCATTGTTCTCCAACTGAGATTTACATTAAATTGTTTATAAATGTTGAGATTATTTCTGGTTGCAGTCCTTACATCAATTGTCTCCTCCTGAAAAACTGTACTCTAAGTGCCTGAATTTGCCTTGTTTTGTGACATACGATATATAGGGGAGCCATTCTTACTTAAATTTGGTCAAACCAAATTTACTTCTGTTCTGAATGTTTGCCATTGCTGAGTATTCCCCAAGTTTGATTTCCTAGTCTGATATTGACAGTAAAGTATCCTTTTTCCAATGTTGAGCCAGATTTGTCTTTGTGGCTGTCAGCATTGATTGTGATATTTTTTAAATTATATGTTCTGCACCAAGAGGGGGGATTTAACTAAGTGGCCTCTTTTGACTTCTATGATTCTATGATCTGTTCTATGACCATCCTTGAATTATTTCTTGAAATTGCTGTTGGTGGAAATGTGGTAGCCAGGATGCTAACCAATACAAGGCACAAGGATCCACATGATGTCTGAACTGAAAGATCTGCAGTCACTGTCAGTCATCTGCCAGATATAATTTAAGGTCTTGGTGTTGGCCTTTTTTTTCAGTTGGGGGGTTATTTATTTAATAAAACAGAGAGAGAAGAAATAAGACATATAAAAGAACAAAAAGAGAACAAGAGGAACAAACAATGCAATAACTACAGTATATGTGTGTGTGTGTGTCTGCATCCAAAAATGTTAAACTTTGTCTCCAAATCAAATTAAGTATGTAATTACTTCCCAAATATTGCAAAAACATTTGTTTCGATGAAGCATTAGTCTGGTTGTACAGTACCTCTGACATCATGATTTACTAATTCCTTTTCTGTACAAATGCAATGGGGTCCAGTAAACGCGAAATAATATTTTTTGTTGTTATAAGCATTAATCTGAGGTCTGATTAGGTTTGGGATATTAAGGTTAAAACATTTTCCATTGGTTAGACAAAATGGGGGTCTCCAGTTCCATATTCTATTCAGTCTTAAAATTTACATATCAAATTGATTTTAGGTGTCTCCAAGGCTGAAAATGCCACATGCCTGAATAGCTGCAGAAGTAGCTGCACCTCCTGCTATGAACTGCCCAGTAACGTAGATCAGGTGGAGAAGCCCTTCTTTTGAGCGGGGCTCAGCCCAAGAAAGGCTCTCCTCATAGTATTTTGGATTACGGTAAAAGTCCATTTCTTCTGCCAAGCTTTTATTGATTTTAATTTTGATTGCATTGACTTTACTCTGATATTGTATTTTTATAGTTGTGAGCCACCATAAGTGCTTTAAGAGACGGCAAGGTGGCCTATACGTTTAGTGACAATATACCAGGAACAATTATTCTTTCTCTTCTGTGCTTTGCTTTAGAAATATGAGAGGTTTGCTTTCGGGATCTGAACTCTATTCTTGATGGACCTTTCTTGGAAATCTGGAAATAAAGGTGCTCTATATAGTCTACTCTTCTGTCTGAGTATACCATACATGTTCCTGTGTCATCAATATAACATTAAGTTTTTTCACTAAGACCAGGGAGTTCCAGGTTCAGGTCCACCCACAGCTGTGGAAGCCTCCTTGGTAACTTTGCTCCAATCTCTCTCCCTTATCCCAACCTACTTCACAGGATTGTTGTTGTGAGGAAGACATTGGAGGGATGTGCATATTGAGCTCCTGATATAACTGAAACCCACAAATAAAATAACATGGTGCAGCAAAAGTTTAGGACAACAGAGGGAGGAACAAGTGTCCTGTCTAAATAACAGGACTACAAGACATGGGTTCCAAACTGGTAGGAGCACAATAGATCCCTGCAAAAAACTGATTGATGCAATGCAATGCACTTCTTGGTAAAGTCTGCTACATTCCTTCTAACAGGAAGATTGGATGATCAAGCACTTTTGAAAGTAAATAGAAGTACACAAAAGTAAGGCATTTGGAGTTTTATTAACTTAAACAATTTTCACATGTATACATGCATGCACCTAATCGCCCCAGGATCTACAAATTGATGAGGCCATAAATAGCAGAGTGTTGTTGGGCCAGAAGAGAATGCTAGCCATCCCTGAAACAAAATACAGCAGCTATTTTTAACTTTAGCTTTCTTTGGAATGGAATGGAAGACACACAATAATTGGCAGTCTGTAACTACAGAACACTGATTTATAGTAATTCTTGATGGAGATACATACCTGCTGGTTTCCCCAGGTGAGGCATGGGCCTAAATGAAGAGGCTTCCACTGTAGCATACTTTGGGGGCGCCTGTCCTGTGGTGATAAGAATGAACTGACTCTCTTCACTGTATTTTGAGATTATGACCATGTGAGTGGGCAATGTAATATTTTGGGAGAGCTGATTGGCAGATGGATAGTCTATAGCAAACCTGTCTTATCTTATCCTTCTACATGTCAACAACAACTAGGTGTAAAGGATTGGCAATTAGTATGTTATTAGTCTATCAGTTCAGGCTGTCATATGGAAAGAGATGCTCCAGTTTAGAGCAGTGATGGTAGTATGGTGTTGCTCATGCTTGTATCTTGATCCTAAAATATTTGTGGAAACAAGCAGGAAAAATGTGCCCTCCCTCTTGCTAGGTTGATGATTTAAGAGTATTCCTTGGACCTGTCCCTCCCAGGTCTTGTATCTCCCTCTGCCTGTTGCCCTTCAGTTTTATTCCAGGAACTATACACATACTTTCTATGGGAACAAGTCTGTAAATTACCCTTCAACTAACTGCAGGGGTTTATTTTTCAACTCAGTGCAAAAACAGCCTTTATTTAAGACAATTTTCCTGACCATAAAGGATGTAGTTGATTGAACCTCTAAGCCCTGCTTGTTCCCTGTAATGGGCTGTGAGAATAACCTTGGGAGAGAGGAGGAAGAGCTGCAGCCTATGCAACTGTCAGACAAAAGATATCTCAGCCCACAGAAGCCTTAGAAGGGACCCTCCCTAGTTCTGGAAAGTAAAGGCAAGGGAGGGGACAAGTGCTTTCAGACTTGCAAGACTATTACTGTAACCTTACAGTAAAGGTAGTGTTGGTATACATGATTTTGGTTTCTTGTCTGGACTACCTCAAAGGGCTGACATTACCCTATTTTATGTGGAATGTTGGTGAGCAGTTTTCAAGCCAGCACGGACACACACACACACACACACACACACACAGAGTATCGACCAGCCCTCCAGCCCAATCTCAGTCAGCTCACTGAATCAGAGCAAAGAAATCAAGAGTTCAGATGAGATACAGTCAAACAATTCCACATTCTAAAAACTGAAAAATAGGGACCAATATACTAAACAACACAGCAAGAGCTGGCACCACGTTAGAATGAGACAGTGCAGACATTTCCTCAGATCACTGTAGTGTTTGAAGAGGTCTGCTCGGTTAAGAGGTTATGTTCATTGTGCCATATCACTTTGCCACTAGAGGAAAACAACAGTGGTATACTCAAGCATGATTTTCTTCCTGATTCTTTCTTCTACCAGATCAGCAGGCCTGTTTGAGGACCGCCCATAAAGGGCAACTCACCTCTTCATGTGGCAGCCTGTTCCACTAGCTGAGAGCTTATACAGTCGGGAATTTCCTCCTGCTGTCTAGCCTGGGCCGCCTTCTGTGTATTTTTAAACCTTTGGTTCTAATGTAATCCTGTTCTCTTGCATAATAATATTTAAAAATGTGAAATGTATCACTATAGAAAGAACATTAGATTTATCAGAATGAAGCACAGCAAAGAAGAGTATTCTGTTAAAGTGGAAAAACTGTGCCATCCCGAATTTACATTGTTGGATTGATGCTAAGTGTTTTCTCTCTGCTTCCAAATTGGTTATCTATGAAAAGACTGACCAACATTACTCCATGTGATCAAGGTTTGAGCTGTTTTCTATTTGCATTATAATATTTGTGAATTTTTTCTTCTTTTCCTGTTGCTTTTCCTTTATTCTTTGTCTGGGTGTATTACAGCAAATAAAATGCTACAGAATTCTGAATACCAATATCATACTGTAATAAAGGGAAATATTTAGAAATAATCCTGCTCCTAAGCCCTTGAAAGATGCTACAGAAAGCTCTCTCATGTTGGCTGATAGGAAATAGTGGATAAGCAGAGCTCTAGGACTGATTCTCAGACTCTATACCATGCCTATTAATACCTTCATTTAGAGTTAATGTAGGAATCAGTGTGATCCTGTGGGCTTTTGTAGCTCACTTCTCCTAAAAACCTCACGGCCTTTCACAAAAGCCTCATAAAAGCTAAAGGTATTTAATCCTAAAGTTCTTTCTTATGTGACTTCCTGTTTCCAAATCTTCCCCTATGAGAACTAGGAACCAGCTTTACAAACATTTTAAAAACCAAAGCTATCAGTGCTAATCAGTGCAGTGTTTATAAAGTAAAAAACATACATCTCTGAAAAACTGTATCACTTCAATAAAAAAATACATTAGTTTTATCTCTGGCATACTTTATCATTCCTGAAAAAGTCATACCTTTGTGAATATTAGTGCAAACACGCTTGAAGAAGGCATTAAATATGAAAAAGTATATTTAAAAGAATTCGGTTTTCAAAGCTGCATATACACCTTTAGTGCAAAATGGTGAAGAAAACTTTTCAAGCCTATTAAAAAATAAGCAGACAAAATTATGGCAAGGATTATAAAGTAATTAATCCATATGTGGATGAAGAGCAAGAAAAATGCAGAGTGTTGTCCTGTAGAATTCTACAGCCTTAATATCAGAATTCTTCCATCTCTTGGCTCCTTTCCACACACCTCTTTGGTTTGTTTGAGTGATTCTGGGTAGCTCTTTCCAAGTCTTTTTTTCAAGGTGTCCACCTCATTACTTATTGCTGACAGTTGCTCAAAAATACAAATGTCTATCTGTGCAGTAAGAAGGCATGCCTTGCTATAAAATCTGAGATTTACTCATTTCCTAAATACTCAAGCTGACCCTCTTTACGAAAAGAGCCAGTTTGGTCTCCTGGTTCAGGCACCAGGCTAGAAACCGGGAGACGGTGAGTTCTAGTCCCGCCTTAGGCATGAAAGCTGGATGGGTGGCTTTGGGCCAGTCAATCTCTCTCAGCCCAGCTCACCTCACAGGGTGGTTGTTGTAGGGAAAATAGGTGGAGGAAGGAGTACTAGGTATGTTCACTGCCTTGAGTCATTTATAAAAATAAAAAAGGCGGGATAAAAAAAAATCTAAAAAAAAAAGATGAGGTGGCGGGGTTAACAGCTTCAGGGTGAAGGGTCAGTAAATTAGAACTTGATAAGAATAAAAAATAAAAATAGTTTAAAAGCAAAATAAAACGTATTAAAATAGAGAAAAATTGATAAAAAGGGGTAATGTATGAATTGGTCTGAAGAGAGTCTGCAGAGGTACTTTCATGTTGCCATCTTCCACCCTTGAAAAAGTCAACTCTGGCTCCTTTCAGATTCAAGCATAGAAGCTTCTGAAACAAAGAGTAACAAGCAGGAATCCTTTAATCTAGTTATGATGTAATTGAACTTAAGGCATGAAGGCAAAATGCATGGCTGTACTTGGCTACACTAATATACTTACCTCAAAGCTATAAGGAATGAGTTGAAAGTACAGCCCGAAAATTGTCCCCACAAAATGAAATTCCTACTCCTTTCTAGAAGGGAGGGGTCAAATTTTTAGAGGGATGTATTTGATGCTTATCTTTTCTTAACTTATGTAATATGATTTCAATTTTTTTTAAAAAAAATCTCACATACACTTGTAGGCATTCTGGGGCATCAACTCCATCCATATTTCAAAGTAAATGTTGGTATAGCTCAAATTCCATCTTAATCTACGTAATTAAGAAAGATCCAGAGTTGGGCAGGAATGGAAATTCTGAATTTGCATGCAAGGTATCTGCAATTAGCAGTGTTACAGTTTAGGAAGTATATCCTTGAAGAAATCTGTTCTAGAGAATCATTTTAATATTAAGCTCTTCACGTATTTACTTAGTGACTCATCATAGATTCTATATCATATATAACAGTGAACTCTTCCTCCAAGTGCTCACTATGATGTATCCAAAAGTGCATCATATACGTGGAAGAAAAAGTTTAAGTGGACTTGTGGGAACTCAAAATATGCAGCAGTATAAATATTCAGATACAGATCACT